GACTCCCCGTATGTGGTACTGCGGCTGAATTTTTGACAATGCCCCGACTTATTTTTCGACCATAAAGGCTAGCGTGGTAGGTTTGGAGACCGTAGATAAGAGTTCGACTCCAGTAGGTGGTAATGCGGCTGAATTTGTATGACAAGGTCCCGACCTATTTTTCGATCATAATGGCAAGCGTGGTAGGTTTGGAGGCCGTAGCTAAGAGTTCGACTACTCTAATTGGTAATGCGGCTGATTTTTTTGACAATGCTTCGACTTCTTTTTGGACCATAATGGCTAGCGTGGTAGGTTTGAAGGCCGTAGATAAGAGTTCGACTCCTGTAAGTGGTAATGCGACTGAATTTTTTGACATTGCCCCCGACTTCTTTTTCGACCATAATGGCTAGCGTGGTAGGTTTGCAGGCCGTAGATAAGAGTTCGACTCCTGTAAGTGGTAATGCGGCTGATTTTTTTGACAAGGCCCTAATTTTTTTTACCAAAATGGCTAGCGTGGTAGGTTTGCAGGCCGTAGATAAGAGTTCGACTCCTGTAAGTGGCAATGCGGCTGATTTTTTTTGACAATGCTCCGAGTTATTTGTCGACCATGCCGGCTAGCGTAGTAGGTTTGCAGGTCGTAGATAAGAGTTCGACTCCTGTAAGTGGTAATGCGGCTAAATTTTTTGACATTTCCCGACTTATTTTTCGACCATAATGGCTAGCGTGGTAGGTTTGGAGGCCGTAGATACGAGTTCGACTCCTGTAAGTGGTAATGCGGCTGAATTTTTTGACAAAGCCTTGACTAATTTTTCGACCATGATGGCTTGCATGGTAGGTTTGGAGGCCGTAGATAAGAGTTCGACTCCTATAAGTGGTAGTTCGGCTGAATTTTTTGACAATGTCCCGACTAATTTTTCGACCATAATGGCTTGCATGGTAGGTTTGGAGGCCGTAGATAAGAGTTCGACTCCTGTAATTGGTAAAGCGGCTGAATTTTTTGACAATGCCCCGACTTATTTTTCGACCATAATGGCTAGCGTGGTAGGTTTGGAGGCCGTAGATACGAGTTCGACTCCTGTAAGTGGTAATGCGGCTGAATTTTTTGACAAAGCCCCGACTAATTTTTCGACCATAATGGCTTGCATGTAGGTTTGGAGGCCGTAGATAAGAGTTCGACTCCTATAAGTGGTAATGCGACTGAATTTTTTGACATTGCCCCCGACTTCTTTTTCGACCATAATGGCTAGCGTGGTAGGTTTGCAGGCCGTAGATAAGAGTTCGACTCCTGTAAGTGGTAATGCGGCTGATTTTTTTGACAAGGCCCTAATTTTTTTTACCAAAATGGCTAGCGTGGTAGGTTTGCAGGCCGTAGATAAGAGTTCGGCTCCTGTAAGTGGCAATGCGGCTGATTTTTTTTGACAATGCTCCGAGTTATTTGTCGACCATACCGGCTAGCGTAGTAGGTTTGCAGGTCGTAGATAAGAGTTCGACTCCTGTAAGTGGTAATGCGGCTAAATTTTTTGACATTTCCCGACTTATTTTTCGACCATAATGGCTAGCGTGGTAGGTTTGGAGGCCGTAGATACGAGTTCGACTCCTGTAAGTGGTAATGCGGCTGAATTTTTTGACAAAGCCTTGACTAATTTTTCGACCATGATGGCTTGCATGGTAGGTTTGGAGGCCGTAGATAAGAGTTCGACTCCTATAAGTGGTAGTTCGGCTGAATTTTTTGACAATGTCCCGACTAATTTTTCGACAATAATGGCTTGCATGGTAGGTTTGGAGGCCGTAGATAAGAGTTCGACTCCTGTAATTGGTAAAGCGGCTGAATTTTTTGACAATGCCCCGACTTATTTTTCGACCATAATGGCTAGCGTGGTAGGTTTGGAGGCCGTAGATACGAGTTCGACTCCTGTAAGTGGTAATGCGGCTGAATTTTTTGACAAAGCCCCGACTAATTTTTCGACCATAATGGCTTGCATGGTAGGTTTGGAGGCCGTAGATAAGAGTTCGACTCCTATAAGTGGTAATGCGGCTGAATTTTTTGACAAGGCCCCGACTTTTTTTTCAACCATAATGGCCAGCGTGGTAGGTTTGCAGGAGGTCGTAGATAAGAGTTCGACTCCTGTAAGTGGTAAGGCGGCTGAATTTTTCAAAAACGCCCCGACCTATTTTTCGATCATAATGGCTAGCGTTGTAGGTTTAGAGGCCGTAGATAAAAGTTCGACTCATGTAAGTGGTATTGCGGCTGAAATTTTCGACAATGCCCCGACTTATTTTTCGACCATAATGGCTAGCATGGTAGGTTTGGAGGCCGTAGGTAAGAGTTCGACTCCTATAAGTGGTAATTCAGCTGAGTTTTTTTGACAATGTCCTGACTTATTTTTCAACCATAATGGCTAGCGTGGTAGGTTTGTAGGCCGTAGATAAGAGTTCGACTCCTGTAAGTGGTAATGCGGCTGAATTTTTGACAATGCCCCGACTTTTTTTTCGACCATACTGGCTAGCGTGGTAGGTTTGCATGCCGTAGAGAAGAGTTCGACTCCTGTAAGTGGTAATGCGGCTGAATTTTTTGACAATGACCCGACTTATTTCTGGATCATAATGGCTAGCGTGGTAGGTTTGCAGGCCGTAGATAAGAGTTCGACTCCTGTAAGTGGTAATGCGGCTGAATTTTTTGACAATGCCCCGACTTACTTTTCGACCATAATGGCTAGCGTGGTAGGTTTGGAGGCAGTATATAAGAGTTCGACTCCTGTTAGTGGTAATGCGGCTGAACTTTTCGACAATGCCCCGATTTCTTTTACGACCATAACGGCTAGCGTGGTAGGTTTGCAGGCCGTAGATTAGAGTTCGACTCCTGTTAGTGGTAATGCGGCTGAACTTTTCGACAATGCCCAGACTTCTTTTTCGACCATAACAGCTAGCGTGGTAGGTTTGCAGGCCGTAGATAAGAGTTCGACTCCTTTAAGTGGTAATGCAGCTGAATTTTTTGACAATGCCCCGACTTATTTTTCGACCATAATGGCTAGCGTGGTAGGTTTGGAGGCCGTAGATAAGAGTTCGACTCCTATAAGTGGTAGTTCGGCTGAATTTTTTGACAATGTCCCGACTAATTTTTCGACCATAATGGCTTGCATGGTAGGTTTGCAGGCCGTAGATAAGAGTTCGACTCCTGTAATTGGTAAAGCGGCTGAATTTTTTGACAATGCCCCGACTTATTTTTCGACCATAATGGCTAGCGTGGTAGGTTTGGAGGCCGTAGATACGAGTTCGACTCCTGTAAGTGGTAATGCGGCTGAATTTTTTGACAAAGCCCCGACTAATTTTTCGACCATAATGGCTTGCATGGTAGGTTTGGAGGCCGTAGATAAGAGTTCGACTCCTATAAGTGGTAATGCGGCTGAATTTTTTGACAAGGCCCCGACTTTTTTTTCAACCATAATGGCCAGCGTGGTAGGTTTGGAGGCCGTAGATAAGAGTTCGACTCCTTTAATTGGTAATGCGGCTGAATTTTTGACAATGCCCCGACTTTTTTTTCGACCATACTGGCTAGCGTGGTAGGTTTGCAGGAGGTCGTAGATAAGAGTTCGACTCCTGTAAGTGGTAAGGCGGCTGAATTTTTCAAAAACACCCCGACCTATTTTTCGATCATAATGGCTAGCGTTGTAGGTTTAGAGGCCGTAGATAAAAGTTCGACTCATGTAAGTGGTATTGCGGCTGAAATTTTTGACAATGCCCCGACTTATTTTTCGACCATAATGGCTAGCATGGTAGGTTTGGAGGCCGTAGGTAAGAGTTCGACTCCTATAAGTGGTAATTCAGCTGAGTTTTTTTGACAATGTCCTGACTTATTTTTCAACCATAATGGCTAGCGTGGTAGGTTTGTAGGCCGTAGATAAGAGTTCGACTCCTGTAAGTGGTAATGCGGCTGAATTTTTCTACTATGCCCGATCTATTTTTCGACCAGAATGGCTAGCGTGGTAGGTTTGGAGGCCGAAGATAAGAGTTCGACTCCTTTAATTGGTAATGCGGCTGAATTTTTGACAATGCCCCGACTTTTTTTTCGACCATACTGGCTAGCGTGGTAGGTTTGCATGCCGTAGAGAAGAGTTCGACTCCTGTAAGTGGTAATGCGGCTGAATTTTTTGACAATGACCCGACTTATTTCTGGATCATAATGGCTAGCGTGGTAGGTTTGCAGGCCGTAGATAAGAGTTCGACTCCTGTAAGTGGTAATGCGGCTGAATTTTTTGACAATGCCCCGACTTACTTTTCGACCATAATGGCTAGCGTGGTAGGTTTGGAGGCAGTATATAAGAGTTCGACTCCTGTTAGTGGTAATGCGGCTGAACTTTTCGACAATACCCCGATTTCTTTTACGACCATAACGGCTAGCGTGGTAGGTTTGCAGGCCGTAGATTAGAGTTCGACTCCTGTTAGTGGTAATGCGGCTGAACTTTTCGACAATGCCCAGACTTCTTTTTCGACCATAACAGCTAGCGTGGTAGGTTTGCAGGCCGTAGATAAGAGTTCGACTCCTTTAAGTGGTAATGCAGCTGAATTTTTTGACAATGCCCCGACTTATTTTTCGACCATAACAGCTAGCGTGGTAGGTTTGCAGGCCGTAGATAAGAGTTCGACTCCTGTTAGTGGTAATGCGGCTGAATTTTTTGACAATGCCCCGACTTCTTTTTCGACCATAATGGCTAGCGTGGTAGGTTTGCAGGTCGTAGATAAGAGTTCGACTCCTGTAAGTGGTAATGCGGCTGAGTTTTTCGACAATGCCCCGACTTATTTTTCGACCATCGCCACAGAGAAACGGCAAACACTGCCCAAGCTATGGGTTTTTGGTTGCAGATTTAACAACAGTTCGATCGACAAACTCCAAAATAGACGTGACGCGGACCTCTACCCGGGTAATATGCTCAAGATTGTGCCTCTGTTTTGAAAATTAGAACATTTAATGTTGTTAATCTGGAAACAATTTAGACCAGAAATGAGAGCAAAAATGATTTCAGCGAGTGCCCTGTGTATGCATGTCGCGAACAAGTGCCCCCCTCCATAACTAATGATATCAACTCGCTTCCGGACGTCCAAGTAGATGCAATGGGACACCCTCTGACTACTCTGGAAGAGAAAAGGAGAGTGGAAAGACAGAAGACATCGAGCACCGCACGTGAGAATCTACTCTATTATGACTGAACTCATAATTAGCTTTTTTGGCAAGAGTTCGTTCATACATTTAATTTATCTGTGGAAAAGTGCAATTGAAAGCAATGGCACGAACAATTCTTAGTTTTTCTACATGGAAATTTTGTGATCAAAGGAACAAGTCCTTTTAAAAAAAAATCTTTACGAAGCGAAACCGAAGTTAGTCAAAAGAAATATTATTTTACCAAAAAGTTTGTTTTGTGAGCAAACTTTGTTCTTTTTTGGGTGCATAGCGTATTCCAGATTGCCACAAGTTTTAAGTTAGCGCTTTTTTCCTGTTTTTCTAGATAATTATTCTCATAATCACTGCAAAAGTAATTTCCCCAGTTTTGCCATAAGCTTTTGTTATTTGTTCATCCAATTTTATGAATTAAAAAATAAAATACAAAAATTGAAAAAAGCATCAATCACAGACGGTTCATGCAATTTTTTTTGAAAAAAAAACGTTAATGAAAATTGAGAAATTCGATCATCCTTCACGAGTCGAGATTTTTCACCTAAATTGAAGCAAGATTTGAGCGGTTTGAGCGGTTTTGAACGGTTTATCTAAAAAAAACCGCTCAAAAACCGGGCAAGATTTGAACGGTTTTGAGCGGTTTATCTAAAAAAAATCGCTCAAAAACCGCGCAAGGTTTGAACGGCTTTGAGCGGTTTATCTAAAAAAAACCGCTCAAGTCTTGTGCGGTTTTTGAGCGGTTTTTCAGATAAATCGCTCAAAACCGTTCAAATCTTAAGAATTCGACCCTCTGCCAACCCAAATGGTCCCCCCTTTTTACTATTTTGAGATATCCATTAGGGCTGACTCACTCTAAAACTTTTCTAATGGCCAAAATATACTAAAGTTGAACGCCTTTTTTGGCATGTTTTTTCAAGCAACCATTTTTTGGTATGAATTTTTGTCTAATTAGGGTCTTTACAATGATTTATAAGAAAATAAAGTCAACAAATAATTTTTCGACTTTTTTGAAAACTCGCCCCCACCCCTCTTCTTGGGAGGAGGAGATTTTTAAGTAGATCCAATATATTTGCAGATTTTTGATTTCATCTCTCCTAACATTATTTTACAACAAAATTTTTCAATTTCAAAAAATAAATTAATTTAAACTCGTTAATGACAAGTTATTTATAGTTTATACATGGAGATTTCAAAACACACTTCTCTCAGTCATCTTACATTCATCGATAATAATACCCCTATGAACGATTCTTTTGCTATAGGCAGGTAAAAATTGCCACATTTTGATGACATTTTGCATTTTTACTGCATTTGGAACTGAACAGGCGCATACACTTGTGATGTATATCAAACGGATAAATTTTTTGAAGCTGCAGTTTTTGAATTAGTTTTTCCCAAGTTGGGTTGACTTTAGGCAACAAATAATGAGGACAAAATTGCTCAGAATTTAACAAAAGGTTTCAGGAGGCTTTTTTGAAAAGCTTAGACCCACAATGAAATCCTTAAAATACCTCCTTTAATTTGGTTCATTACGAGGTCAAACTGTGCATTGGATAGGCACACAATTTTGTGTCTGTATGTTCCTGGATTCGATAGACAAGTCTTTAAATTTGTTCTAACATGTAAATGGATTCCACTAACAATATTTCAGTGGATTCCGCGTGCAAGTACCTGTAGCGTAAATTTTGTCGCACGTTTGTTTTGCTAAGGATTCCGTAACAGTTCATGGTCAATTGACTCTTTTCGTTTAATTAATATTGAACTAAAAAAGCGCCCCGTTTCAATTATGTCATTTTGAGTCCTAACTTTGCAAAGAAAAAGATGATAAGGTTCAGGTTAAATTCTAGTGCCATCATCTTTTTTTTGTCCAGACTTAACCCAATTGAAAAAAGGACCTGAAAGTTTGCGGTTTTCAAAATATTTTATGCTGTTGCCTTGAGGCAGGGTTTTATGAGCGTGAGCAAAAAAAAACATCGAACTGAATCAAATGTCATTTCAGATTGGCAATTTTAAACTGTCTAAGGTAATAAGAAAAGGCTCCGATATTATAAATACTGTTGAAAAACGAGACCGTTTACAAACAAATATTCTTGAAACACCATTTAAATTGACGGGTACTTTGAATACAACTGAGGAAATTATAATCTTCTCTCCTAACATTATTTTACAACAAAATCGTGTCAATTTCAGAAAATAAATTAACTAAATTTCGTTAATGCCAAGTTATTTATAGTTATACGTGGGAATTTCAAGCACACTTCACTCAGCCATCTCTCATTCATCGATAATTATACCCTATAAATGATTCTCTTGCTATAGGCAGTTAAAAATTGCCACATTTTGATGACAATTTGCATTTTTACTGCATTTGGAGCTGAACAGGCGCATACACTTGTGATGTATCTGAAACGGATAAATTACTGAAGCTGCAATTTTTGAATTTAATTTTCCCAAGTTGGGTTGACTTTAGGCAACAAATAATGAGGACAAAAATTGCTCAGAAATTAACAAAACGTTTCAGGAGGCTTTTTTGAAAAGCTTAGACCCACAATGAAATCCTTAAAATACCTCCTTTAATTTGGTTCATTACGAGGCCAAACTGTGCATTGGATAGGCACACAATTTTGTGTCTGTATGTTCCTGGATTCGATAGTCAAATTTTTGAATGTGTTCTAACAAGTAAGTGGTTTCCACTAACAAAGCTTCAGTGGATTCCTCGTGCAAATACCTTTAGCGTAAATTTCGTCGCACATTTGTTTTGTTGTGGATTCCGTAACAGTTCAAGGTCAATTGACTCTTTTTGTTTGGATAATATTGAACTAGAAAAAGTGCCCCGTTCCAATTATGTCCTTTTGGGTCCTAAGTTTGCAAAAAAAAGGATGATAACGTTCACGTTAAATTCTAGTATCATCATCTTTTTTCGTCCAAATTTAACCCAATTAAAAAAAAGGAATTGGAAAATTGCTTTTTTTTTAAATTTTTCGCTGTTGCCTTAAGCCAGGATTGTATGAGCGTGAGCGAAAAAAAAACCATCCAACTGAATCAAATGTCACTTCAGGTTGGCAATTTTAAACTGTCTATAGTAATAAGAAAAGGCTGCGATATTACAAATACTGTTAAAAAACAGACGTTTACAAACAAATGTTCTTAAAACACCATATAATTCGAGGGGTACTGTGAAATACAACTGAGGAAATGAAAGTTGTTATGTTGAAATATTGCTGATGCTTTCATCGAGCAGGCACGATGAAATTCAAAAAAGCTGTTGAAATTTAAATAGAAAAAAGCAATTACAAATGATTGAAAAATCCGAAATTGGCGCGTTGAAATTGAAGGTGTATATTGGAAGAGTCTGAATGAATTGAAACTAAACTATGACCACGAATGTTGAAATAATAAGCAAAAATATATAATAACGACAAATTTTAGATTAAGTTGTGATATTAGACAAGAAATTACCATAGTTGAAGTTATGAATGATTTTGTAACCAGTTTGAAACTAGTGTTTATAACCAATTTTTTTTTTGATAAAACTATCTCTATAAAATATAAAAAGATATAATAAAACCACTAATAAGAAATTTGATAACATCGCTAATTAATCGCTCGCGCACTAACAAACACCAAAGATTACGAGCCGTTTTGCAATAAGTTTAACCTCTTTGCACTAACATTTCAAATCCTTACACCAAAGGAAAGAGACATTCACTCCTCACACAAAATCTTGCTGAAGACAAAACTAACCCACATAAACACATTTTTCAAATTCATACATGAACATAATATCACCAACGCACCAACCCATAACCCACAGCATCGTTTTTTGTTAATTAACTCAAATTACACATCAGCATATATCATAAATTTCACCTATTGCATTGAATCTACTAATTTACATGCATCCTCCGTAATCGTGTTCCCATCAGAAAGAAGTATATATTTTTGCCCACTGACTAACACTTTACCAATCGACGCCGCCCGTCCCATAATAATTGCCCACGAGCATATACAGCCCAATGAAACCACACTAATCGAACACAATCACAATACTAAATTTATCATAAACTAAATAATTGATTCAGAACATAAATCATGAGTTTTAAACACTTGCCGAAAAAGTAAACACCAGCAGAGCGCTTGAATTTTTTTGGCCTCTGCTTCGCACTAAAAACGTTATCCGCATGCTTGCAAAGATTCCAGTAACATCGGACACAATCAAGACTAAGTATGAAATTTATTCTTAACACTAACATATAAAACATGACACTCACCATTATTACCCGTATTTTTCATAACTCTTACTTTGGATTTCACCAGTCACTCATCTAAAAGATTAAAACCCCAACAAAAGAACCACAAACTATTTTTTACAAAGTTTCAATTTTAACCTAACAATAAAAATGAATTATTCAAGTGCAGTAAACTTCATAACAAATGCCAGAAATAATTTATTCTGTGGTAAATTGTTAAAATTGTGAAGTAGTAAATTGTTAAGATGTAAATGATTTACTAGAAATTAAACTTTTTAGGTTTGCTTCTTTTATAACTGAATATTTGTCCTTTACTCGCACGACTCCCCCAACGTAGCTTTATTTAATATATGAATTTCAAGCTTCAACAATAGCTGATAACAAATTTAATTTGTTTTCACGGGTTTCAAAACTTCCTTTAACCCGGTTGGAAGGAATTATGAGCAAGCTTAAACTGAACAACGAAGCTTACTTATACAACAAAACCAACGCATGCATAAAAAAGTCTCACGGTACTCAGACCAGATGAAATCCAGATTAAAACTGGACAAACTTTTCCTTTGAAACCCACTATCATGTTTAGTTTATTGAAATCATTTAAAACACCAAAAAGTCAAAACAACCCAAAACATAACATCTGTTTTTGATGCAAGGACACAATCAAAAACAAAAAAGAAAAACTCCTGATAAAAGAGAACAAAAAGTTGAACACAAAAAGAGATTCTGCTCAAAGAGACCGTAATATCATGCTCCATCAACTAGCTTTGCCACCCAATAGGATGTCTTAAGCATGCTCTATAGCTGGGTTAACGCACCGCGCTACAACCACGCTTAAGACACGCAGTCAATTTTTAAATTTTTGACGATAGTTGCTCTAGGGTAATCGGCTCTTTAAAATAACCGAAACTATATAAAACGCTTTTGCGAAAACAACTAATGAATATCATAACTAAAACTCATCTCACTTACAAATTATAGATTTATTATGCAATGTAAAAGTATTTCTAAGAGCCAACGGAACGAGCAGCAAAGGAAGATGGAAAACCGATTACATTCCAACTCTGAAATGACAAATCTATTAGGTTTGTTGCCGTAGTCACTGCTCTCAAAGGACTACAGTATGAATCCAACATCGCAGCAAAGGAAAACCATTGAAACAGACCAATGGCCAACCCGATGTTGATCTCATATACAGATCCTAGACACTTGGCACTTCACACGAAAAGGTCAAACGTCATCTTGCATGTAGTCTCGCTCTTGCTAAACGAAATCAACACATCCTTGCATCAATCCGAAATCTTGACACAATCACTCAAGACGATCTAGGATAAACGAGACCCACTTTTGGACCACGAACAACTGTTCTTCTTCTCTCTACGAAGACAACTACATCTCTCCTTTCTTCATGCAGTCACTGCTTCAGAAGAACACTACTCCACAAAAAAAAACAAAGAACTCTCTCAAACCCTCACTACAAAAAACAATTTGAAAACTAAAAGTTCTCTAAAACCAGGATGGTCGGAACCAGTTTGAAACTAGGGTTTATAACCAATTTTTTTCTTGATAAAACTATCTCTATAAACTATAAAGAGATATAATAAAACCACTAATAGGAAATTTGATAACATAATTGATCGCGCACTAATAAACACTAAAGCGTACCAGCCGTTTTTCAATAAATTTAACCACTTTGCACTAACATTTCAATTCCTTACACCAAAAGAAAAAGTCATTCACTGCTCACACGAAATGATGCCAAAGAGAAAACTAACCCACACAAACATGTTTTATAAAGTTATAAAAAAAAACATTTTATAACCATCTCTTTAAAATACTATTAACTAACCATCCATAGTCCATAACTAACACTGACAATTATTTGTAGTGCTGAAACTACTTGTAGTTTCAGCACCAAAACAATCTGAATATAACTTGACAATCTGAAGACTGTTGTTCTCCTTTGGAACAAGTTCACTATATCTAACCCGCAAAGACCATTATGCACCAGACCTATTGAGACTAGGAGAGTAAGATTAAGATTGGTATTAGACTAAGAAGTTGCACGAATCTATCCGGCCGAAAATAAGATAGCGTGACGAGCAGACGGTGTACCCTATCCGAAATTACTCTATGAGCGACCACTCCAAGTAAAAACTCAATTTTCTAAAGCGCTTCCGTGAATTTAGATCATTTATTGGTCAAGACAACTTCAACAAAAAGGTTTTGCTAGCTGTGCTATTTTGTTAGAAGTGGCGGCGAGGAGCAGCGAAGTGTCAGGAGGACCTCAGAGTAGTATTCTTGTCGAAGACATCAACGGGAACACGTTCAAGAAAGTGCTGATTTTGGGCAAGACATGGACAGGCAAAAGTAGCCTGTGCAATGTCGTGGCAGGCAAAGCCCACGACGCAGACCTGTTCCCAGTTTCCACAGAGGCACAAGGGTGTACCGGCACAATCATCTTTGGCAACGTCTTTTTTAATGGAATCAAGGAGACGCCCGTATCCCTAATTGATACAGTGGGCATCGACGACACCGAAAGGGATACGGACGCCACCATAATCTCCGAACTCGTGATCAAACTAAGAACCAAATGCGATCATGTGAACCTATTTGTAATAGCTGTGAATGGCCAAGAGCCTCGGCTCTAAAGGCTCTAGGGCAAACATCCGCCATGCCACACTTACTAGCTTATAACATAATAACTTGACGTCTCCCAATTTGAAGGCAATAACCAGCTCAAACTTTTGTATATAGTTGCCCTCTGTTGGCAAGCTCAAAACTATGGATTTTACTATTAATTTGATCAAAACAGCATCTTTTCTAAATCAGCTTGTTGCAGCGCAAATGTGCGAGAGTATAAATGCACAAAATTGAACCAAAATGTAACAACCACGGATGACCGAAACTTCTTATCATACAATTCCCATATATGAGAAACTTCTTGTCATACAATTCCATACAATGCCATACGTACAGAAAATTGTATGAAATCTCTATGATAAACATTTTTCCATAAATGAAAATTGCATGATAAGTGTTTTTCCATAAACCAAAAAGTTTGATTTTTTCTTTCTAAATTTATTTCTGAAAAATTTTCGGTTGTGTTTGCAAGTGACAAAGTGACAAAGACCTTGGTTACTCAAACACCAAAAGTTGGACCGTCTTTCCATTTACACAGCATAGCAAACGATTCACAATTCATATACGAAAGCAACAAACTTTCAGTTTTTGGCAAAAATTTTCAATGGTGATTATTATAAATTTTTGAATTTTCAAATTATCAGACTTGATCAAGGCATATAAAAACACCCCATACAAAGGAAATATGAATGTTCAGCGTTTTTCAGGACCTCAGAGTAGTATTCTTGTCGAAGACATCAACGGGAACACGTTCAAGAAAGTGCTGATTTTGGGCAAGACATGGATAGGCAAAAGTAGCCTGTGCAATGTGGTGGCAGGCAAAGCCCACGACGCAGACCTGTTCCCAGTTTCCACAGAGGCACAAGGGCCTACCGGCACAACAACCTTTGGCAACGTCTTTTTTAATGGAATCAAGGAGACGCCCGTATCCCTAATTGATACAGTGGGCATCGACGACCCCGAAAGGGATACGGACGCCGCCATAATCTCCGAACTCGTGATCAAACTAAGAGACAAATGCGATCATGTGAACCTATTTGTAATAGCTGTGAATGGCCAAGAGCCTCGGCTAGATGGGAGCCTCATCGAAATAATTCGGATTTTTGAAGGCATCTTTGGTGCGAAATTTTGGTCGCAAGCTGTGATAATTTTTACTCGGCTACCCATGGATTTCGAAAGCATTGTATTACGAAAACGAGTCAACAAACAAACCGACGCTCAAATGGCGGCCAAATGCATAAGGTCCGTGCAGGATAAGTTTCCCAGAGGGAAGGGACTCAAATACCTCATAGTAGACTCGTGCAGAGACACTAGTAATCGCGAGGAGGAGGAGGCCTTCCAGAAGGCAATGCAGGAACTGTGGAAGTTGGTGGAAAGGGCGCCCCCCTTCAACACAGAAGATATGAAAAAGTTGGAGACAGAGTCGAGGAAACTGAAACGGGAAATAGAAGAGAAGGAAAAGCGGCTGGCAGAAATGGAGCTGCAGAGAAGAAAGGAAGAACTCAGGTGAAGCGCATGTTTCTTCTATAAAAAATACAGTTTGATTTTGATACTTCTGAAAACTATCAAAAGGATCGAGGGTCAAGTACCTGAGCAACTTACTTCCCTCGATTCAATTCGGATTGATTTAGTTTGCCGCTTACGCTCTAAAGGCTCTAGGGCAAACATCCGCCATGTCACACTTACCAACTTATAACATAATAACTTGACTTCTCCCAATTTGGAGGCAATAGCCAGCTCAAACTTTCGTATATAGTTGCCCTCTGTTGGCAAGCTCGAAACTATGGATCTTACTATTAATTTGATCAAAACAGCATCTTTTCTAAATCAGCTGGTTGCAGCGCAAATGTGCAAGAGTATAAATGCAAAAAATTGAACCAAAATGTAACAACCCGGGATGACCGAAACTTCTTATCATACAATTCCCATATATGAGAAACTTCTTGTCATACAATTCCATACATAGCCATACGTACAGAAAATTGTATGAAATCGCTATGATAAACATTTTTCCATAAATGAAAATTGTATGATAGGTGTTTTTCCATAAACCAAAAAGTTTGATTTTTTTTCTAAATTTATTTCTGAAAATTTTTCGGTTGTGTTTGCAAGTGACAAAGTGACAAAGACCTTGGTTACTCAAAGCACCAAAAGTTGGACGGTCTTTCCATTTACACTGCATAGCAAACTACCTGAGTTCGGCTTTCACAATTCATATACGAAAGCAACAAACTTTTAGTTTTTGGCAAAAATTTTTAATGGTGATTATTATAATATTTTGAATTTTCAAATTATCAGACTTGATCAAGGCATATATAAACACTTCATACAAAGGAAATAGGAATGTTCAGCGTTTTTGAAGAAAAAAAATAAATCAAAAGAAAATAAAGCCAATATTATCGTAACCAAGACTACGTTATGCACACAAAAAATTAAATTTTGCATATGAAATTTTGTTTGCATACGAAATTCGATGAGCGGTTGAAAAAAAAAACGTTTTTGGGCCAAATTTTCAAAATTACTGAAAAAAATATATAAATGGGAATTGTATGATAAGCATTTTTTTTGAATGAAAACCTCGGTTTCTTTTACCAGACTGTTTTATTAGAATCAAACAGCCACAGAAATAAGTTAATCTCTTTTTTCAACCATTTTTAGAAACTGTATGAAAATTGTATGACAAGTTTTTTTCCACATACTTGATGTATGGAATTGTATGATAAGCAATTTTCGTGTATGGAGGTCAACCCGGGAACCATAAGCTTTAATGGCCGAGCGGCCTAAACTAACGTAACGCGAATCATATGTGTGACATAACAGTTGACGTAGGTTCGAGCCCACCACCTGACCATGTTTTAATATACTAAAAAAGGTGGTCCGACGTTATTCCCAAACTTGCACAAGGGACCCGAAGTCCGACGTTATTCCCGAAATTGCACAAGGTACCCGAAGTCCGACGTTATTCCCGAAACTGCACAAGGGTCCCGAATTCCCACGTTAGTCTCGAAATTGCACAAGGGACCGACGATGACACAAAGTCGACGATCGACACAAGGGACAGCAGTTAGAAAGCAGTTGGCCCAAACAGAGTCCAGTTGGCCGAAAGTCGAAAGCGGCGTTTGGCCGAAAGTGGGCGTTTGGCCGAAAGTGGGGGTTTGGCCGAAAGTGGGCGTTTGGCCGAAAGTTAGCATAGCGTACCCAGTTGGCCGACAGACGACATAGCAGACGGACGAAATAGCAGGCTGACTAGCGGATGAGAGGCCTGTTCAGGTGTCCTGATTGTTGACTTTTGGTCAAAATGGAGCTGTGTTTTTATCGACACCCGAAGTTTTTGGATTTTTCCCGGTGACGCCAATCTCCAATTAAAACTTTTAAAACTTTCCATTTGTGCTATAAAATTTTATAAGCTGTCATACATATTGTTATTTTTTCCGCAAGCTAGCAACCGATAATTTTTCCCTAGCCAAAACTTTTGGAACGTTCCTTTGAACTGAAATAACTTACAATCGGTGCTTAGACAACTTGATTGCAATTTTTTCTCGATACCAGAAATTTTTGGATATTTTTGAACGGAATATTAATCCCTGAAATCGGATCATGGACAAGAGGTACTGGACTAGTTTTTGGATTGGTTTACGACTTGCTGACAAAAATTTTCCAAAAATTTTGGGAAAAAAGTAAAAAAAAACTGCCAAAAAAATCCTCACTACGTCACCAGAATTCTGCGAAACTGTGCTGTAATATGACACCAACCTTATGATAAGTGGTCTGGTAGCGAAATATCAGGCAAATTAGGTTGAGTTTTTTCATCCTCAGGTTGTTTCCAAGTGTGTTGTTGGAACTTAACCAATTTGCCTGATCCACCACACACCATCGGTGTAACTGAAAGCCAGTTCGCTTCAAATAAACCTAAGCCGTTTCAGGCCGTCTGATTATTGACGTCGTTGAGCGACACTAATGTTAAGTGGTCAGGTACGGTGATATTAAGTGAGTTGAGTTGAATTCTTTCATCCTCATGTTTACTCGGTGTGCGTTGTTGGAGTTCAACCGACCTGCTAAAATTTTTAGCAGGTCGGTTGGTACTTAAGCGTAACGTAACCGTCGCATAGGTCTCTTAAGTATATGGTATTCATTCTAGGAGCTAGTTCTCTAGACCACGCGCTCCGTATACTATCCGCACCGTCTCAAAAGCGCGTGAAAGAAACTTGTTTCACAAAGCCCGGTCTAAGCTTTATCTTTAACGCCAGTGACTCGCAGAAATTTATTCAATACTGTCTGCACCACTTTTTGTCGAATCGGAAACATCTAGTTATTTGGCTCCAAGATCTAGTTATTTGGCTATAAATAACTCCATTAGTAAGCACCGCACTAAAAACAACCGTATTTTGAGTACTGACCAACTTAAGAACCTTCTTTTGAGATAAAAAGAGAATATTACCGCTATTATATACTGTCGCCGCAACGGTACGGTTAATATGGAAAAAGAGTTGAAAAAGACAGGTATTCTCTTTCTTAACATAGTTGAGGAGTTTATCTCAAAACGAAAGGCCAAAGACCAAATACTTATCGAAAAACATAAAGAGCTGCACCAGCCCCCTTCCCTTGAGTTGAAGACTCTGTTGTTACTTAGACGATACAGTGCTGACCTAAATACACTGTCGACGTTTGTCGCCGTTTGGGCGATTCACAATAGACTTACAGAGTTAAAACTTCAAGTTACTCCCCCTTGTAAGTTATTGATGTATTAGAGTATTTTGTGGATTTACTTGAGTGAAAATAAAAAATTTTCTGAGAGTCGTTTATTTCTGAAATTATTAAGCATGGAAGTTAAGTTTCAGAAGAAAATTAAGAAGTTGTTTGAGAAACGTAGCAATCTCGAAAACTAATTTATAAAAACCACGAAATCATTTTGGAATACATAGAGAGTCAGAGTCGTTGCTCAAAAATTGATATCTATTTTGCAAAATGTAGGAACTATATAGAACAAGCGGTCGAGGTAAATAATGAG